CTAGGAAGAGTGGAAGGTTAGGACATGGGGAGAGAGGAGTCATTGGGTACAAAGTTACAGTTAGGAGGTATAAGTTGTAATGTTCTATTATGCAGAAGGGTGACTATGGTTAACAATACTGCATTGTATTAGGTTGATGCAAAAGTAATTGCAGTTTTTACCATTACATTTAATAGGAAAAAAACCACAATTACTTTTGCACTAACCTAATCTATTTCAAAATAATTAGGAGAGAGGAGTTTGAATGTTTTCACCGTAAAGAAATGATAAATGTATGAGGCGACAGATGTGCCAGATTCTCTGATTTGATCATTACACAATATATGCCTGTATTGAAACACCACAATGAACCTCATAAATACATATAATTATGATGTATCAATAAAAATAAACTATTTTTTAAAAGCCCACAAATAATTTATCAAGTCCCTCAAAGCACATACTCAAGCATTCCCCAAATCCTGTCAAGAAAAAAGAAGCTTCACAAAATCAACACCTTTCCCCATCAGTAACTCAAAAAGGAACAAAACAAAGTAAAACAAAACAAAAACCTTTAACACTTTTCTGTTGTCATTAAAAACTCATCTTTAAAAAAAAAATAGCTAAAAAAGTGAACAGTACATCCTAGAAATAGGCTAATTCCAGTTCCAGTTCTGAAAATTCACTAGCTGGGTATGATTTGGTGAAATCTCCCTTTCTTTCTTCACATCTTACACACACAAAGGCACAGGGAGAGTACCAGCGGTAACTGTTTGTAGAAGTCATAGAAGAATAGAGAGAAGTGACCTTAGTAACTTTTTACTTCAGGGACTGACAATCTAATCCTGTTGCTGTAGGCCTGGTGTGCCTCTGTTTATCAGGGTCCAACAATCACGGTGTTACCATATAACTGAAAAATACAAAGTTGACCAATATTTTTAAAGGTGACAAGATTTCTGTTGCATTGAGCAATCTCAGAAGATACTATCTTCATTTTAATATAAAATGTATCAGATCTACATGCCTGAATAGAAAAAGACACCAACATATAAAGGATATACAGCTGTAATAGGCGTTCTTTCCCAGTCAAATTTGAAATAAAAGACCTGAAGATCCAAAGCTACATTAATGCAAATTCTGCCTGTTGCAAGTATACTTTTTGATTAAATTGGCATACATCAAGTACAATTAGAAAGGCTATTTATAACGAAGAAATACATAATTCTGCATCTTAATGTAGATGACAATTACAGCTGATAGTTGCTAATTATCATTACTTCTTTGCTTTGAGTGTTAGATATTTCCTGTATGATCTTTATTGTTGGCAATGGACACACCTAATTCTGGAAGGCACAAAATGGTTAATTACCAGTTATATCTGTGCTCATAACACATTCATTTTAGGAGCAAATGGTAACTTACCCAGCTCTGGTTTCGCACTGGAGACTAAAGGATCAAGTAGACTTGGTAAACTCTGACTCATTCATTTGGTAGGAAAGGTATTTATTTAACTTTCTTTTAGAACCAAGGCTCACCTTCCCCGAGGTGTTCAGAATGACAGGGAGAGAGCCCCTCCACTCCTCTTTCCAGGTGGAGTGGTCTGTGGGGCATTGCTTGTTCCATTCAAGCAGAAATGAATGGTACATTTAATTCAGCTTCACTACCCTCTTGTGCCAAGATGACCACTGTGCTTATTCTCTTAGGCAGCTTAGGAGGGTGTGATCAGTGTGGAGAGCCAGAAGTGAAACGGAGAGAAAGAAACATTGTAGCTTTCAGCGCAGAAAACTCTAACGCCCCCTTTGCTTATGCTGTAAATTACATATTTATTTTGTCAGCATGAGATAGATGAATATTTCTACATACAAAGGTGCCCAGCTAAAATCAGGATAAGTGATATTAATGTCTTATGGTTAGTATTATTGAACCTTAAAAGCAATAAACTTTACGAGTCAATAAGTATTACATTTGCAACATAGTTAACATTCCTTTACTGTCTCTAGCACTTATTACACATTGTAACTGCAAGTCTACAATACATTATTCATATTTGGGGTGTCACCAAGTGATGGATTGCTGTAGGAGAGGCTGTCCTTTAAATAAATCAACAAATAAAAATGCAAATGTTAACATTTTCAGGCACAACTTTTTCCATCTTGAATGGGGAATGAAAATTTTACATAGTATTGACAGCCGGCAGTGAGAACAATTAACAACTAACACTGTGAATGAGAAAGATACTCTGCCACACCTGTTTTTTCACCAGGACATGGAATGAAATGGAACTCTGCTAGGTATTTTCAGAGAACAAAGGAAAACCTGTCTCCCACTGGCATCTGTCTCACCCCCATCCTTGTTTGCAGGTCTTGAAAATTCTTGGAATTTAAGGTGGACAGGGGAAGAGCTTTTACTCTCGTTCCCATTGGTACTTTCAAAGGTTTGTTGAGATAAAGAACAATAGGCTCTTCTCTTACATTAAGAGTTTGCAGGTAATGAGGATGACATGAAAGGCAAGAGGGTAAGTGAGGCGCCACACATGTTAATTAGCTTGGTAGACTCTTTCTACAACATGCACATGTATCAAAACATCACATTGTCCCCTATAAGTACATGCCATTATTGTTTGTCAGTTAAAAATAAAAATTTAAAAAAGAAAAAAAAAAAAAAAGAGTTTGCATGTAACTGATATGTAGTCTATTAAAAAAATGCCTTTTCTACACTTTGAAATAAAAACAATTCAAATTATCCTGATTCTGAAATCTGGAGAGCCACCACTATGCCTTCTTGGTAACTGATTTTCATAGTACTATTTTTTTTTTAACTCTGCACTTCGTATAAGAGACTTACATGATGCCATCATGCATTGCCAAGGATAAAATCTGGTGTGCTACACATTGTTTTATTAATCCAAATGCTCATTACCTAGGAAGCTTCTGAGAATCTATATTTAGCTGATCTGCAGTATTAAGGACAAATAGATAATACTTTTTTAAAGTCTGTAAATATGACTCTTCACAGCAGTTTTAACCTGGGCTTGTAAAACTCTACAATGTTGATATGGTCCATTCAAAAGGTATGTGCTGAGGATGTTTTATAAAACTCTTACTGGGGAAACATTGTATTCCATTTTTTCATACTTCCCTCTAAACTGAAATGCAACTATCAAAAACATTAATATATTAAAGTGGTGTTAAAGATCTCATTTTAATCTTTAACAACAGGAAAATTAACTAAGATTGAAAATCCAGATAATCTTCCTTCTTTACCTCTAATTCCTCCAAATGAATCCCTCAAGCTGACCTAGGATGGAGACCCTCTGAGCACAAGCTTTCAGCCACAATGTTAAGGGATCCAAAGAGGAAGCCCCATCAACATTTCAGAGTCACAACTTACTGTGGGTCTTTGGCAGAATGCCAAAAACAGTAGCGTTAAAAATAAAAGAAAGCAGCCAGGCGTGGTGGCTCACGCCTGTAATCCCAGCACTTTGGGAGGCCAAGGTGGGTGGATCATGAGGTCAAGAGATCAAGACCATCCTGGCAAACATGGTGAAGCCCTGTCCCTATTTAAAAAAAAAAAAAAAATTAGCCGGGCATGGTGATGGGCACCTGTAGTCCCAGCTACTTGGGAGGCTGAGGCAGAAGAATTGCTTGAACCCGGGAGGTGGAGGTTGCAGTGAGCTGAGATCGCACCACTGTACTCCAGCCTGGTAAAAAAAAAAAAAAAAAAAAAAAAGCAGCAACAGTGAAAGGATGTGGCAAACTAGTTAAATTCTCTTTTTGATTGTGTGTGGCCTCCAAAATAGAGAGGTTGTCATTCTCAACTATTACAATATTTAAGACTACAAGGTTTGGAGTCTGAAATGCTGGCTTTGCCCGTTATTAGCTATGTGACCTTAGACCGTTTTTCAATGTCTCTGAGACTTAGTTTCCTAATTCTAAAAATGGGGATAATAGTACCACCTCATAAAGTTGTGAAGATTAAATCAGACAATGCATATAAAGGGCTTGGCAAGGTCCTGGGGACATGGCAGATACTTAATAGATGGCAGCTACTGTTATTATCTTTTGTGTTGGAGTCATTTCTCAAAAGTTCTTTAAGATGCTTACATTTCCAGCTCCAGAATTAAAGGAATGACAAAAAGAGCCAAAATAGGATGAACACACTGTTTCCTAGGTTTGGCTTCTGTGGAACAGCATATCTATAGGCGCTGGTCTGGAATACAACTTTTTAGAGGAGGAATAAATAATCTTTCTCTTCCTTTTGAAATTACTTCAAACCAAAAGAATAAATTTTAGAGTTCATCTTTAAAATCATCAGACTTGAGACTTGTAATTTGGGCATTTCTACTTTGCAAAGCCAGTGGACTTTAAATTAACTACAAATTAAGTCTTAACATTTATATTCAATTCATTGGATAAGCTGCTATGAATTTAAGTGCTTAAAACCAATCATATCCCTGAGGAAACATAAACCAAGCCCTTTTGGTATTGATGTTTATATATTCAGCCTTAATTGCATAATGCGAGTTGGTTTATTAGATATAAGAAATTTAAAATAATACATTTCTTTCCCTGACTCCAGAAAAGGCTGATCAAATGCTTAACCCCTCAAATGTGTCTGGTATAAGTAAATGTTGGTATTCCTTTAACTAGTACAAAAGCCACTATCATGTTCAATATCAATGATTTCAGCTAGTTAAACTTATAGTCTAAGTGTATAACTCCTCTGTGATAAACCGGAAAAGAACTGCTGCTAAAGAGACTTTCTGGTGAAGGATAGGTTTAGCTTTATTTAGGTTTCTATGGAAGCCCTTCCCATTACCATGATCAACTAACAAAGAGAATGTATAAAGAAAAGGACTCCATATGGTTCAAACTGGCCAAATCTAGATGCTTCAAAAGAAGGACCTCTCTTGAGAAAGAATCACTAAGAGTTGTCAAGATTTTTCCATTCCCTATTAAATAAACTTCAAAAAATACTCTCATAGGGAGAATAGTAAAAACTAAAGAATCTCTGAAGCTTACCGGGAGGTGGTGTGCTGTAATGATGGTAAGGCTGTGGTGACAAAATCCTTTAGGCTTCCTGTTGGCATAGGAGATGTGGACGCATCTTTTCTAACTTCTGTCATTGTACCTATATGAACAATAAAGAAAATAATTTGGTCATTCGATAAAAGAAAATGGAAAAGTTCATTCTCAGTAAATATATAAGACATTATAGGAATGTCCAAGCTTCAAAGGTAAGCCACTTGTTTCCCTGAAATGTAACAATGGCATATGAAAAACTCTCTTCAGTTTTGTAAACATGGGAAATCTATAATGTACTTCAAGAAAATATATTTGTGCAGTGACAGACTAAACAGAGATTTTGTTTTTAAACCTGATTGCCTAGCAAACCCCTGCTGATCTTGATTTACTGTGAAAATGCCCAAGGAGGTGGGATGTTTTATTTTGTTCCCTTTAACTTTCATAAGAAAGATTCCAGCACTTTGTACCTCTAAACCCTCCAAATTACATTGATCCTCTTTAAAACACTTTCAAGATACATATAACTCTGGAAAGTTTCTTTTAGAGAACTCAACATTGGCTAAAACACATGTCTTAACTGGAAGATATGCTCAAGTAGTATTCATTCGAGTGCCATGGGAAAGTTCCTAAGCAATAGTTTATCCTCCCAGGAACTGCCTGACTTGGCCTCAATTCCTTTCCAACAAGCAATGTTTTATTTGTAATTACTTTTCTCTTCTGCAGTGCGAAATAAAAAGATGGTATGGACAGAAATATTATTTTTATTTTATTTTTCAGTTATTATTAGTTTCTAAACAACATAAAATACCGCTATATTTATCTTGGAAGACTATAAGAATCACATTCACAGTTCTTCTTTTGGTTCTTTGAAAACTGTTATCCGGGATGCATGAAGTTATTTGGGAAGATCCACTCTTTGACAAAAGGGAGAGTATTCAAATAACCAAAACTTTGGAGTGCTGGGAATACCAGACCCTAAAATGCCAGGAGTGCAGTATGCTAACTTTGGGAATGGCAACAGGTTGCGTGCAACCTGAAATCATCAGGCATAGAGAAGGCTAGAGTCTTATGGCTACAGCAATTAGCATCAAAATGATCACCATTATCCTTGACTTCAAAACCTATACTCTTTATGTCAACTATTCTCTACTTTGTTTGTTTGTCTGTTTACTGAGACAGGGTCTCACTCTATCACTAGGTTGGAGTATAGTGCTGCAATCACAGCTCACTGCAACCTTGACCTCCTGGGCCCAAGTAATCCTCTTGCCTCAGCCTCTTGAGTATCTGGGACTACAAATGTGTGCCACCATGCCAGGCTAATTTTTTATTTTTATTTTTGTAGAGATGGGGTCCCACTAATCTATTATGTGTAGATGTAAAAGACCAGCCTCTAAATGCACAATTCAGTCTTCTTTATATATATAGAAATCTGTGGTACCCTCAACCCAAACAAGTACATATTAATACTGGCCAGTGCCAGGATTAAGCTCAGGCTTAGTTAATAGGGAGGGGAAGGAAGGTATGAGAGTAAGGACACAAGACACTCTTGACAATCACATAAAGAGACACAGAGGATTGGCTCAGTGGCTCACACCTGTAATCCGAGCACTTTGGGAGGCCAAGGCAGGAGGATCAGGCCAGGAGTTGGAGACCAGCCTGGGCAACATAGCAAGATCCTGTTTCTATATGAAATAAAATTAGCCAGGTGTGGTGGCATGTGCCTGTAGTCCTAGTCCCAGCTACTCAGGAGGTTGAGGCAGGAGGATCCCTTGAGCCCAGGAGGTTGAGGCTGCAGTAAGCTATGGTCATGCTACTATACGCTAGCCTGGGCAACAGAGCAAGACTGTCTCAAGAAAAAAACAAAATCAAAACTACAGATAACACAAGGCAGTATAAGGTAATAACTGCTAACACATACAATATGCTTAGTGTGTATATAAGTTTTATTGAGGTATAATTTGAGTATCATAAAATTTACTCATTTTAACTGTAGAGTTTGATAAATAGTAACTTTATATAGCTATGGAAGCATGGCTACAAGCCATTTTTTTGTTTTTAATTTGCATGGTACTTACATATTTCTTTCTAAAATCCAGTTTTAGAATATTTCCTTGCTTCAGAAGGTTCCCTCTTGCCCATTTGTAGGTAATACTTGCTCCCAGCCTTAGTCTGGTCCTAGCCCCCCTCTCTATCTCTATTGTTTTACCTTTTTTAGAAATTATTTTTTATTTTCATAAAAACTTTTTGTGATAATATCTTTATAACAAATTTGCAGATAGGGAAAATAAGCAATAAAGAGCCTATGTGACCTGCCCAAGGTCACTGAGCTATAAGTGATGGAGCTAGTATCTATGTCCAAGATGAACCGAGCGCTTTGGCCATTCTGTTATGCTGCTGTAATAAGTACTATGAAAAGTCTGAGGAATTAAGAAATGGGAGAGTTCACATTTGGCTATAGGATTTGGGGAACATTTGATGCAGGAGGTAGGATTCTTTGATAGGAAACAATGACAAGTATGGAATGGGAGACAGAGACTTATGTTAGCAAAAGCATTAAATTGAAAACCTAAAGGCTAAATATTTCATTTAGTCAGGAAATATTTATTGAACATCCCTATGTCCTTGTACCCTGTAATCACTTTAAATGCAGTATCTCATTAATCCTTACAAGTCTTTAAATTATATTATTATCCTTATTTTATAGATAAGGAAGTAGAAATTATAAAAAGGTCAAGAAGCATGTCCAATATCACCCAGCTGGTAAGAGCAAAGCTGGATTTTGAATGTAATCAAGGTCTGTTTGGCTCTGTATGGCAAACTTGTAAGCATTATTTTAGAGGGACTCAAAAATAAAACAGTAACAACAATAATAAAAAAAAAAACCAAACTGGTCTTTGGAGAGATTAATTTTGAGGCAGAATTTAGAATAGAGTGGAATAGATAGAACAAAGGCAGGCAAAGCAGTTCACTACTAATACAATTGTCTGGGTAGACTCCTGGGTGATTAAGAGGAAATTAAGATGGACAAATCGGGGTAGAAACAACTGAAAGGGATTTGTGAGTGAGGTGAAAGGGAAGAAGAAATGCTTGGTAGTGACAGAATATAAGTTATCTTTTTGGTCACTATCACAGAATACTTGGGGACAATTTATAGAAGGAATTTTAACAGATGGTCCAGGGACTTTTATAATTGAAGAATTATACCTCATAATTGTAAGCACAACAATGTATATACGTGTCCTCATTTATTTTTCTGAAGAAATAAACCATATCTTTTACCAAATTCTGAAAGGGTATGGGACCCTGAAAAGGATAAGAATGATTGCTGTAAAGCACAGACCAAGTTTAACTGTTCTTTTTCCTTAATTCTCCAAGTTCTATTCCTTATTGCATTTCCACAAACCTATATATCAGCTTTTAATTGTATTTGTTCCCTTTATAAATTTTATTTAGTATTAAGTATACCAACAATTACAGTTATGCATATTCATGGAACTCTATATTCCCGTATATTTAAACACACACACACACAAACACACACACACACACACAAAATAATAACATATGCTTAAAAAAAATAAAAATGCTGGCAGAGTGCGGTGGCTCAGGCCTGTAATCCCAGCACTTTGGGAGGCCATGGCGAGTAAATCATGAGGTCAGGTGTTTGAGATCAGCCTGGCCAACACAGTGAAACCCTATCTCTACTGAAAACACAAAAAATTAGCTGGGCCTAGTGGTAGGCACCTGTAATCCCAGTTACTCAGGAGTCTGAGGCTGAAGAATCGCTTGAACCTGGGAGGCAGAGGTTGCAGTGAGCCAAGATCGTGCCACTGCACTCCAGTCCAGGAGACAGTGCCAGACTCTGTCTCAAAAATAAATAAATAAATAAATAAAAATAAATAAAAAAAAATGCTGGTAAGAATATTACTAGGCTGACTGATTTCATATATAAATGTGTATTTTATATACATGTAATATATGTGAATGTATTTACATAAACATGCACATATATTTTCACATGCACAGATGGAATTGATTATAATGGATCATGTTCTATTTAGATATAACTGGGTATATTTCATGGTAATTTTTTTTCTTAGAGCTCAATGTTTAAGAAAACTCTGTTTCTGGGCCCTTTGTTTTATTTCATATTTTTTAAACAGCTGAGCCATATTATCTACTCAGTTTAAACAAAACCAGTGTAATCCATTCCCAGCTCAAGAAAGCAAGCTCTGGCCACCCAGATACATCACCAATATCCATCCCCAGTCACAATTCCTTCTCACCTCCAGGGACCCCAACTATTCTAATAATTATTTCCTTTCTATGCTTTATAGTTCTACCATTTATGTGTTTGGTTAAATATGTCATTTAGCTTTGTTGCTTTTGAACTTTATAAAAATAGAAACGTATTATATATATTATTTTTGAGACTTCTTTTGCTTAAATTGTCTGCAAAATTTACCTATGCTGATAATTTTTATGTACTGCAGTTTCATTGTTTTATTTGCTAAGTACTATTCCATTGTATGCATTTGTGACTTTTTATCCATTCTGCTATTGAGGGACATTTGGAGTATTTCTGGTTTGGGGCTATTATGAAGAATGCTGTTGTGGCAGATGCTGTCAGTTATGCACCAAAATGTACTCCTTCCTTCTTCCTAGGTACACAGCTAGATTATATTCCCCAGTCCTCCTTGTAATTATGTGTGGTCAGGTGGAAAGCCAGTGGATATTATACGTGACACTTCTGTTGTGTCCTATAACAACTTTTCATGTGTACTCTTCCAATACCTCTCCTTGTCCTTGGTGACCTACTATGGCAGAGTCAACAATTTCCTATAAAGTTGGGCAGATATCATGAAAGAATGTTGGACTGTCAAATGCTTTTTCTGTGTAAACTGAGATGATCATGAGGTTATTCCTTCATTCTATTAATGTGTATTACGTTCATTGATTTTTGTATGTTGAACTGCCTTTGTATTCCTGGGCTAAATCTCACTTAGTTATGATGTATAATCCTTTTAATAAGCTGTATTCAGCTTGTTAGTATTTTGTTAACTATACTTTCATCCATATTCATAAAGAATACTGGTCTATAGTTTG